ACAGGGAGGGGGTGTAGGGGGCTGGAGGAGGTGACAGAGATAGGGAAATGGAAGCCTGAAAAGGGCACTGGGATAGCAGAGGGTATTGGAACCGAGGCCTGATGGGACACTGGGCAGAGCTGATGGAGCGCACAGTTGTAGGGGGGAACCCAAAGCCTTTCGCGGTTTGGAAGAGGATAACTCGTTTGTGGAATAACTTACCTTTCGCCTCTAGGTTTTTATTGGCGGTTGCGTCTTGAAGGGAGGGCCTGTGACGGTTCTGGAAGACAAGGAGATGAAGAGTCAGCCTGAGCCCTGCATCGTACAGGTGAGGAGATTACTTACCACTGCTCCTGGATTCCCATCCTTTCTGAAGATCCTACAGTTTTTAAAAAAAATTTGTTCTTTGGATGTGAAATAATTCCCCGAGAGACCGGTATCCTTTCGCCAGGACACCCTGTATTTACAAAGGAACAGTCCTTGACCGTTGTGTGGTCATCTCCAGTGAGGTGCCACCTTTTTTATGTCAACCACAGCTCCCTGATTGAACCAGATTTGGAGCTCCAAATTGAGGAACTCATACTCTGCTAGGTTCAGCTGGCTGACCTTGTTACACTCAGTATAGGATGAGGCTGGTTTAGTTACCCATCCATAATTGCCCCTCCTTAAGAAGGTGGGGGTGAGCCACCATCGAGAACCGCTGCAGTCCCACACCCCCCCGCCCCGTGTGGTGTAGGGACACAGTGCCCTTAGGGAGGGAGTTCCAGGATTTTGACCTTGAAGGGACGGCCGATATATTTCCATGTGAGGGGGTTTGGGATCGAGGGGGTGAACTTGCAGGGGACTGGGGTTCCCATGTACCTGCTGCCCCTTGCCCCCTCTAGGGGGACAGAGGTCCCGGGTTTGGAAGGTGCTGTCTAAGGAGCCTTGGGGGAGTCGCTGTAGACGGTACACACTGCTGCGGCTGAGCGTCGGTGGTGGAGGGAGTGCGTGTGTGTGGATGTGGTGCCAATCCAAGGGGGGAGCTGCTTTGTCCCTGGACGGTGTCGAGCTTCTCGAGTGTTTGTCGGTGCAGCCCCCCATTAAGGGCAAGTGGTGGGGGAGTATTCCCTCACACTCCCGCTTTGTCGATGGTGGGACAGGCTTTGGTGGGGGAAGAGTCAGGAGGGGAGTTACTTGCTGACCAGACTGATTCCTGGGATGGCAGGGCTGACATATGGAGAGAACCCAGATCAGTTAGGATTATATTCACCGGGAGTTTACAAGAATGAGGAGAAGTGGGGGAGCAGAATCTCATAGAAACCTATAAAATTCTAAGACGACTAGACAGGAGGAAGGATGTTCCTGATAGTAGGATCTGCCGATGCTGGAGAATCTGAGATAACAAGGTGTAGAGCTGGATGAACACAGCAGGCCAAGCAGCATCAGAGGAGCAGGAAAGCTGACGTTTTCGGGCCTAGACCCTTCTTCAGAA